GTTTTTTTGTATTTCCCCTAGTGCATATTTTTGTCATATTGTAAAGCTTTTAATAAAAAAGGAAATGACAAGAAGTTTTCCAACTGTTTTCTTCCTCCTCTCTTTGCCCGTCTCTGTAGGTCTCATAACAACAAACTACAATCAGCAGCCTCTTAGCTCCCTCCTAAAATCAAAAAGACAGGCCTTGAGGTTTCCTCTGAATGATTAAGCCCCATGGTCCAAGTCAGGCTCAGTTCAACTTCCAACAGCTCATTGCAGTGCTAAAAGGAAAAGAAAAGCCCTTTTTCTTCCAAAGTGTCATTGGGACATAATGGCAAAGAAGTCCCACCTTCAGACCAGGGGCAAGGGCTCCACGGACTCTGTTGGCAGCCTGTTTCATCCCAACCAGTCGTTCCTACCAGTGCGTCTCATCCATGAGAAGAAAGATGCAGATGGGGAAACGCAGAGGAAGTTGATAAGTTGGTTGGTTTGTAAGTTCAGTGGCAATCTGATCTCACAGCGGCGGCAGCAGCAGACTTGTGTTCATTCTGTAGCCGCTCGCTATTTTTGTTTATCCTATATAGCAAAGTGTCAGCTTTGATCTTCCTACCCAGAGGTGGAACTTTCATTTCATCCTGTCACATTTTACGATGACACAAACATCCCATTAAAGCCCCTGCTTCACATGGAAACATTCATATGATCAGTGAAAACTGAAATCCCCTGTTTATGCATCACACGTGGATGAATGCAGAAGCTGCATCCATGTACAGTATTGCAGAGTTCATTCTTCTCATATTCAACCAGTGTATATCTGAAAGCAGCATTTTATTAGGAACAAATGCTGCTCTTTTTCCCCCACCAGAAAAAATAACCCCATTGAAATTTTCTCTCAGACCCACTTTATTCAGCCAACGTCTGTCACAGTGTCCTTCATGTTTCACACCTATCTTCACTGCGCCAGTGTTTTTTTCTGGACTATACCCTCAGGTGTGTAGGCCTGCACGAGGCATGAACCTCATAAAGCCCACTCTGTGGCACATCAAATATGACTGTCGGTGGTACGTTTCACTGTACGTTCCCTATCACAGTAGCCTCATGCTGAGATGCTCCATTTGTAATAGAAGCTAGATGTCTTAAAAAAAAATTCATCAGGAGATTCATTTCTCTGTCTGATTAACATCACCACATATGGGCGTAGACAGCGCTCAGTCAAGTAATTCAAGGGGTCTTCATTTTGTCTCGCAGCTGTGTTACTTTCATGTTAATTTCCAGAGGGAAACACCCAGGACAGGCCATCCCACCCACCACATCCTGCCCCTCTTCTGACCTTGTTCCCATTTTGTGTTCTTCTGAAATGCCAGTGAAGAATGCTAACTAGCTCTGTGCTCCTTTTTTAAAAAAAAAAAAAAAAAACTTTTTTGAAGGTGGTCAAGGACAAGAAGCGATGTAAACGAGACTGGGAAGGTGAAACTTGTTCAAGGCTTAACTAACCTACGTGTGCCGTACCTCCTTCCATGCACACACCGTCTCGTCAAAGCTCTTGTTTCTGTCAGAGGCTGAGTCTGTAAGTCTCTCTCCCCTTATCTATCAGCCACTTCTTCCAGCATATTTTATTGAAGTTGACAGGTTGGCTCACATATGTCTCTCAACTCGCCCTCAAAGCATGGTTAAGTAATTGGATAATGGACTTTTCCACTCAGCATCAACTCAGTTATGTTGCGGTCTGCGGCAGCATGTCTGGGAGTAAATTTTGAGTGGGGACTGGGGAGTCTTTGTACCGTGGGGTTTGTATGAAAATTTTATAGCTGCATTTTTAGCATATTTGGGAACATTTTTGTAATCCGTGATTATCAGTTTTGTAGGAGGGGAGCAATCATAAGACACAGTTGTCTTTACGTTCAGAACTGTTTAAAAATAAGCAAATGTTTCTGTTTCAATCATAGTGTTTTTTTTTTTTTTTTTTGTCTATAAGCAGGGTTGAGAGATAATGTAGCTTCTGTCTTCTTTTCTGTGTTTGTGTGTCTTTCACACAAATGTCTGTCACTTTGTAATCTGATGAAGATGTGTTTCATCCACTGTTTGTAATCTTGTATATTATGGTTGTCCAAATATGTAGAGATGAAAGATTTTTAGAGCAGTAGAAACTTTTATTTTTCACTCTTTGAACCAGCAACTAAGCCCGCCTGTATATTTTAACTGTCTATTTTTTTCTCTTTAATTGAAGTGAACTCTACATTTAGGTGAAATTGCCCTTTATATTAAAAGTGCTGCATATTGTGAGCATACAGGTTTTAAATGGGGTAGAGTGACACAGTTAACTCTTGTAAAGAGTTGTTCTTTTTTTGTAAGAAACCAACCAGTTCAACATAACTTCTATATTGACATTGCATTTCTTGTATTATTTATTCATATCAATGAAAAGTTCTCAGTTTTTTGAGTAATGTTGAAGAAACGTGACTGCAGATAAAAAGTACTCTATGTTTTTAACAGATTGTGGCAACTCCGAAAATATTCTCTTTTGTACTCGATAGGACATTTCATCCTAGGTAATAAAGTAATGTTTTTGACACCAGTTTTAAACAGGGTTGTGTTTTCTTTGATCATCTATGCTCATTACAGACACACTAGATACCAATTTATATTACCTTATCATACAAGGCTATCAAAGTTTGATATCATGCATTGTATTAATATTTAACTCTTGCGCTTTACTTGCATTATGAGTCTATTTATTCATAAAACACCCTTTAAAAACAGAGTGCTAAACACTTTGTACAGAAATCAAGACCAGTGTCAGATAAGACCTTTTGCAGGACCTGGGAGTTACAGAGACAGGATGAAATAAACGCATAAGTGATCATCTCCATCTCAATGGGCCTCCTAATGTTCCTCAGCTGAATCAAACACTTAACATATTGGTTCGTAATGATACCTCGATTTTGAATGGAGGATTTAACAGCAGGGGAAAGAGAATTGAGAGCTTCAATTACCTTAAGCACAAGGCTGGGTGTGGCAGAAATGACATCTGTTTTGGCAGTTTTGAAGAAATTATCCGCCTTTCATTTATAGTGTTTAAGTAGTTAGGAAAGGAAATACCTTTAAAATGACTTTTTATGGGGCATCCCTGTGGCTTAGGGGTTTCTGTGTAGGGTCACGTCACTTAACAATCTGAGCCTCTCAGTGACAAAAACAAGTGCATTTAATGGACGTATTTTTATGGTGCTTGGAACTGCAATGATTGATATCCTGCCGGAACTTCGGAATCTCTGTCTCTCTCATTTGCTGTCACCCCTACGTTTGTCTTTATTTATTATCATTTTTAAAAGACCAAAAAAAAGAAAAGGATTCATCATCTGTTCAAGAGGAAGCATAAACTACAAGAAAAAAAAAACTATTTGATTGCTTGACATGAAATTTTATACTAACATTAAGTTCCCAGAGAATTATGATAATGTCTCTGATGATCCTCTAACTTTCCTTACAGCATAAGCATTTGTAGTTTTAAATTAAATTTAATGGATTGATGAAAATGAAATGGATTTCATGAAAATTTCTACACACATTCAAAATAAACTGTAATCACTTTGGTTATCCTTCCGTTTATGACCAAACACCAGCTGTTCTTTGTGTTTATTGCTTATACGCAAATGATAGCATGCTAACATGCTAAAGTAAGATGGTGAACATGGCATAAACATTATACCTGCTTGACGTCAGCATTGTTAGCCTTATTATAAGAATGTTAGCATTCTGACATTAGCATTTAGCTCAAGGCACAGAATGACAGTGCCACTAGCACGGCTGGAGACTCATGTTTGAGAAATAATTTGGGTCAAATGCTGGGAAAGCAACTGCTCTGCAACAAGGCCCGGGCCACAATCGGGCTCCAGGTTCACCATGTGGCAACTGGTGGTAATTTAATTAGTTGGAAATGTATTTGTTAATACTGTATGCACCACATGAAATACTTTTAATTTTTGGAATCTTATGCTAAGCAACACATGCATTAGCTCCATCCTGTAGTGGGAACTTCAGTTAAAATCTAATTTTAAGGCCTATTGTTTAATAGATACATATTACACTGTAAGCACATTACTATTATAGTGTATTTTATCAATCAAGTGACAACAAACTAATTATTAACTAATACAGGCAATGGACAGAGACTGGGAGAAAAAGGGGGTCTGTTGGGGCCCACAGCTCAGTAAAATAATGCAGCCCTATGTAACAAGTTCAACCCTTTAACTTAAATCTTGTCAATTATCTGAAGCTTTATGTGTGTGTACTTCTGAACACTGAAGGGCAAGATCATGACCCCAAACACACTCATACAAAATCATCCTGTGATCAAATTACCAGCATGACACATAAAAGCCACCTCCAAGGTTGACCTTTCACTCTCCTCTCACCCCCCCCCACCTCAATCCCCCACTCAAACCACTAAATGAATCCAGAAAGCACCATAGATGACCACAAGCCCCAACTGGTTTCAATCCAACACCCTTGCCTCTTTCTCTCACTCCCCCCTTGTGGCTTGGGGGCTATCACACAGGAAGCAACTTAGAGATATTCCCACCTCCCCCTCCCGTCTCCCCCTTTTCCTCCTCCTTTACATCCTCTGCGATGAGGAATGTCCTCCCGCTGCGATAGTAGCCAAGATGTGGAGCAGGCTCCTGTTTCCTGCCCGCCTGCATCTGTTCCCTCCAGCGCTGATCCCAGATAGAGGCTTCCCCGAGCCTGGGAACTGACCAGCCCAGCTGACAGACGGACAGAGGGGGAGTAAAGAGGCTTAGCCCTGCCTGCCTCAGTGTCCAAGTTCCAAAGTCAGTCTCTCTTCCCGGAGGCCAGACAGAGACCATGTTTGTTAAACTCTAATTAGAGTGTCTTACTTTCGGGGCTCCTTCTCATGCAATCACGGGGAATGATAATGAGGATCAATGTTTCAGTCAGTGGGCAGATGAACGTGATAGCGTGAGTGGAGGGTTGGTTTAAAGACAAATAAATTCCTCACAGGGTCGTTGAGTACAAAACAAATACACATTTTTATTGGGTTCATGTATAGTAAAGCAATGTAAGCGTTCAGTGCAAATCTTTTCCCTTTCATAAGAAGCATGAGCTCAGGGCCGTACTACAATCAAGCCAGGGATTTCTGATTAAATAAGAAGCTATCCCTTTAGAAAGACAGACCCAATATCCCTTCTCCTGCTTCAATCCCCTCCCTGTGTCATTTTACATAACCTTCTTTATTTCTCCTCCACCTTGCCCCCACCTCTCTCTTCCTCTGATCCTGCCTAAATACCCCCTTTTTGAGCTTTGGCCTTACCAGAGAAGTATGTGTTTGTGTGTAAGATGGAAAACAAGAGCCATCCCAAAGTGGGGCTGTGACGGAGGCACTTTTCCGAGTCATGTGTCCAGGTGCGGAGAGGATCAGATTCCTGCGATTAGATTTATGGCTTAGTCCCTACAACAACACACCCCCTCCTCATTCAGCAAGACCCCTTTTGATGTCCCAGTCTACTCAGGCAAATATTTCATCGTGGACACATAATTAAAGTTACAAAAATAAGCCGCTATCATGACAAGTAAAGGTCCTGTGCTCTCTCTCTCCCTTTTTCTCCCTCCTCCTCCACTGTGGTTTGTTGCTGCTTTTTCAGGCCCTTCATTCCTTCCCTTTGGTCCATGTAACAATAATAGTGCCTTTCCTGCTTACCAATAACAACAGTGACCACATGCATGGGGGTGGGTGATACAAAACAACACTATTCAGTGCAATACAATGTTTTGCATTCATATCACTTTAGAAGCATCATAAATTAATCAAAGGAATTCACGTTATTAAAATATTGGATTTGTAAGATCAGGTCCAAGGTTCCTGCAATGTTAAAGTAACTGCCACTATTTTGAAAAGCCAATATGTTGATCTAGTGTTCACATAAAAATGGGTGCATGCTTTGAGGATTTACTCAATATATCCATATGAGTGTTCATATGTGTGCTTGGATTATAATGGGAATAAAGAGGCTGGATCTGACTACGGTATGTTTCTTTCTCAGCACAAATATTGGCTGGCTAAACACGTATGAATACAACAGAAAAATGCCAATGTGAATACTGATGGCAAATAAAATTCTATACGCTAATTTTATACTAAATGGAAAGAAGTGTGCTTCGGATTAGCCAAATTTCCCATTAAAAGTGAGACAATTTGATACCTTTTCAATTGAGGGACTTCATGAACCAGCCATGAATGAATGAGGAGTTCGAGTGGAGTTGCTATTTTGAGAAAATAATAGAGGGCAGAGGGGACAGCCTTGGTACCCCAAACATTACAAAATGATCATGAAAACTCCATTTAATTGAAGCTGCCTGTGTTTTCTATCAAAGAGACCACAAGTCAGTACTTCAGGAACTTTACAGATGAGTAAAAAAAAAAGATGAATCAGGATTATGATACATCATGGCAGTCCATAAGAAAATAAATCCATGCTTTCCATGAAATGTCTTCTGTCTTGCACAATACTGAGGGGTTAGTTATGATTAGTTCAGGTAAGCTGCAATGTCTCTTCCCCTGCAGCAGGGGGCAAAAGTCTTATCTTTGCTTCACCTACACCTGGAGCGGGTGGCCTCCAGGGCTTTCTGGTGCCTCCGTTTGTTGAACCGCTTGACGTAGTTGTTACTTCGCAGGAGGCCGTCTCCGGGCTTCAGTTTACCCCCCAGTAGGTTCAGGAGGTCACTGGGAAGATGGCGCCTCCGGTGGTAGATCTGACCCATTACAATGTATCTGGTCCCTTGGGAACACATCAGGGAAATGTTGAAGTAACAGGAAAAAGTGCACAGTCAAGCAATTTTGATGTTTGCACTAAACAAAGTAGTTGTTACTGCTTTTGCTGATTTCTGGAAAACAGAATTCCCACAACCCACACAAGAAAACTTTAGCGGGAACGACTCATGTCTGATCTTAAGCGTCAATCAAAGGACTTTTATCTTTGTATTCTTTAATAAACCACTCAATAAGTAACAACTGATGTAGTCATTAGTTTAATGAGGCCTTTGAGAGAGCCCCGCTACACTCACCAAGTTTGATGTCAGGGCAGGGCTTGCTGCACTTGTAGGTATCCAGCACCAGAAGGCGGACTTTGAAGAAAAAGCTGTCTGGGGTCACATAGAGACGACTCATCTTGTAGAAGCCGTCACTGCTCACCATCAGTGTGATGAGACGTATTCCTTTACGCAACACATCAATGTCGTGAACTATGCCATTGATAGCTGTTTGAGAGAAAACATCATAATGTCAAAATGTTGGAGCTTCATACCATTATGACTCTTAAAGGTACAATGTGTATTTTAGATGTATGTTGTTTAAATTAATAGTTCAACATTTTGGGAAACGCCCTTTTTTGCTTTCTTGTCCGCAGTGAGATGAGAAGATTGATACAACTATGAAGCTAGCCTGCAGCTGGTTAGCTTAGCTTAGCACAAAGACTGAAAACAGGGGGAAATAGCTAGCCTGGCTCTGTACAACAGAAATAAAATCCAACTACCAGCACTTCTTTAGATCACTAATGTACATGTTATAACTGGTTTGTTTAATCCGTACAAAAAACGAAGTGTAAAAATGACACATTGTGGTTTTACAGGGTTAAGAGGTTGCCAACAAACGGAGCCTCAAAGAAATGGCATAAAACCTCTGTATTTATTAGATTTGGGTTTGTTTTGTTTGGATTCAACGAACTCTCTAATGTATTAATTAGTGAGCTTTAAACATGCTGGACAAAGCATAGGCTAGCTGTTTCCCCGTTTCCAGTCTTTATGCTAAGCCAAACTAACCTGCTGCTGGCCACATAGCTTTATATGTATCATAATAATATAATAATATATAATATTGGTCTACAATCAATCAACATATTTCCCCAAAAGGTCAAACTATTCCTTTAAACTGTTTCATATAATGTCAAAATCCCTGTTTAGCTGCCACAGTTACACAGTATCTGATTATAAAACTCAAAAATGTAAACAATATTAATGAATTAGTTATTTACTATCCAGCCAGGGATGTGTTCAGAAAGTTCAGGTTTAATGTTTAATAATTTGATAAATTGACCTGTATGGACTGATCAGTATCACAGACTCTACCTCTGTCTCTCATTGGGTACATACCAAACTCACTGTAGCAGTAATACTCTCTCTCCTCCTTCTCCTTCCTGCACTCGCTCATGCAGAAGGCATCGTGTGTGAAGTCGGACTCTGCGGAGAAGAAGGCAAGCAGAGGACAGGATGGAGGGACGAGAAGAAGAGAAAGTGACTGACTGCCTGCCATACCACGTACGGAGCCAGACTCTCATTCCAGTGTCATTAGAAAAGGACAAGGTTGTCATTACAAAACCCAGGCATCACATTCCTCTGCACGGGACTGGAGGAGGTGGAACGTGTGATGGGATCACATCCGTGTTTCATTTTCCATCTCAATTACAACCTTCTCGCTTGCTTTGCATCAGTTTCATGACAACCTCTTGCTCCCAAAAGACTGCACACAAAGGGAGACACTGACAGCCAGATTTGAGGGAAGTGGTTGCAATTAGTGGCAGGGGATGTTCAGTGGAAGGGTAGAAACCATCACTTTCTCTGTGAACTCTATGAACTCTGTGTGTTAGTGTGTTTGACATTACTGTATGACTGACTTATATCCACAAAGGAACTAACAAATCTATCTTTCTTCAGGTATTTTAAGCCTTTATTAGATGGGAGATGCTGGAGGAATGATAGGAAAGGCAGAGGTGACACTGCTTCCTTTTAGTTTAAAGGCATTTTAGTAATTTTGTAGTTTTGTCAGGTATAATCCACTTTGGCCCTTTTGGTTATCAAACGTTGAAATAAGTCTCGGCTCTTAACGTGGCGGGAAGAACATTTTACATTATAAATAGGTTACTGATACAATAAGCTGTATTTTGTTTGAGTCATTTGTCATTGACATTGTGTTTCAAATGTCAGCATGCTTAGATTATTACTGGTAATAAATAAAGTGATATTGAGCATCAAAGATTTTCCCAGATGGATAAACTCTTACATAATTCCAATCTTTTGAAATCTGTAATCCCAAAGGGGAGTTTAAAAGTGATACAGCTCAAGATCAAGTAACATTCAAAGATCCTGAATATGTGGACAACTCTCTCCGAGGTCAGGATACAACACATCCTCCCATACCTCGCCTCAGGATGTCGAACTGGTAAAGCAGGCTGGAGGAGCGCCGGTTGAAGACGACAGGCGGACGGCTGTTGTTCCGGGTCGCTGCACCGATCCCTGACTGATAGAGACTGGACTTCCCCGGCCGGTTCTCCTCAGGGTCCAGCCGTCGGTTGGGGGGATCTCTGCGCGGGGAAGGGGCCGGTTGGTTCGGCTGAGCCTGAGGCTGTGTGTGGGGTGGACTCCTGGGTCTGGAGTTGGGGTGTCCTTCTGGTTCACTCTGCTGAGGAGGACTGATGTTGGACTGGGTGTCCTGCTGGTTGGTTTTCTGCACAGTGCGGTTGTTGGTGGTGGTGGCGGCAGCTGCAGCTCCTGTCAGCGGGATTTTGGGAAGCATACCAGGAACCTCACCTCTGGTTTTCTCGCTGTTGTGCTCCACCAGACGGTCGCTCTTGGGGCCCTTTTTGCTCTTGTTGTGGGGACTGTGGTGGCGAGGGATGGGGGCCAGGTCACTGTGCTTTGGCCAGACAGCAGAGGGTAGAGGATGGAGGGTGAATTTGGACTCGCCGGTCTTGCTGCTCTTCTCTAGAAGCTCGTTGATGGGCAGGGAGGGCTCTTTAACCACCACCCGGCTCTGGTTGCTCGGAACTGGATCCACAAAACTGGTCTGACCCTTTTCTATCAGGGTGTACAGCTCTGGGTTGAAGCAAACAAACAGTTAGACAGTTCCTTCATTTTGATATCAAAGCCTCTCTGCTCCTATAGAGGAGTGGATTCCTTTCATCTAAATGATAACTGTGGATGTTCCTTTAGTTTTAGGCTTTAGGGAATAAACCATTGTATTTATTAACTTTAATCATGAGAACTTTATTCTACAATATGCTACTCATTTACTTAAGCATGTGTGGGCTGGAAATAATATGTTACTTGATAAGATCTAAAATATTAGTTTTTGAGATTAGGTCCCAGTCCATCAAAGTTATGAAATTATATCTAAATCAACTTATAAAGGCCTCATTTTAATATTTTCATGGTAAATTAGAAAAGATTATTACACATTTTTGTAGTTTTCTTTTAGAAATATTTTGACAAATAACACTATAACACTTTATGTTATGTTATTATATTGGTGAGATCCAAAGCTACAGATCCCCCAGTGTTGAACCGAAGTTAATACACCTCATGAAGCATGTTGTTCTGATGTTATATGATCATATAATACTGGAACAGTTCATTTAAAAACGCAGGTAAAGCAATGAGTGAGCGTACAGGTTTTCTCCAAACACATACAAACGCACACAGTTACAAATCCATTCGGAGTAATAGAAAACGTTTTAACTCACCATTGACAACATGCTCCTCTGTCTCGTAAAGAGGAAGCCCGAGAAATAAGAGAAACAGAATAATCCCTGTCATCCTGGATGCTCAGTGCGCACACACGTTAAGGTCTGCTACAGAGCTGGGATTCCTGGGATTTTTATACGGGCTGCTCCGGAATGAGACGGGATGGGGTGGAAAAGGAGGTGGTGGGACGTCCCTAACACAGAAATAAACACTTTAACAGGACACTCCTTTCATTCATAAATGGATTCTAAAAAGGCTCCCATTGTTGCTTTCAACCAAAGAGGGAAAATGTGGTTTGGTAGATAATCTCTGTTGTTTATGGGTTTATGTAAAAAGGGAACTAGATTTAACTTCTGGTACCTGGTGTCCAACATAATGTTTAAAATCTTCTGCGATGATGGTTTATTTGCTTGGTTTCTTTGGATGTTTTAATTTTTTAGAGGAAAATATAAAATACGCTCTACTTCTGAGCAAGTGCAAGCAATTTCTCCACTTCCATTAACCTGGGTGGAGGTGGCGCATCAGTGTATTTAGAGTCATGTCTCTTTCCTGCCCTCAAGTGGTCACAGTTGAGAACTGCAGCACATCATTAAATGTGTTAAACCTGTAAGGAAAGCCGATGAGGTCAGTATTTGTCTCGATCAAACAAACAGGCATCTGGAGAACATGACATTAATTCATCACAACACAACTGAGGACGTGACTGCCACAAATACTACTCAAAGCAAACAATTTACATTAGGAAGTAAAATAATCAGAATAAAATTTTTTTTTTAAAGGATAATGTGTCCTATTAAAGTGTGTGAGAAGGGATTATTATGAAGTCAGGTAGATTTATTAATTATTTTATGTCTTAAGGATTTTACAATTAGTTTGTTGCTTCTTCAAAAACAGGAGAAGATCTAAACTTGTGTGAATAATATTTTACTATATTTAATACTTTTAAAAGATATTCAACCTCTTTGTCTTGTATACCAATGGAAAGCTGTGATTGGAAAGTTGATTTCTTTCAAGCATTTTTTAACTTGCATTGTTAAAACATTGCTCAAACAACAACAACAACAACAACAACAACAACAACTTTATTTCCTTACATTTAACCGATGTAAATAAATAAAAGCTACATACATAAAGATATACACAGACTGCTGTTTGCAGCGTCATTTATAAACGCCAGCCGGTGATATAAAGCTACATTAACAGACATATAAAACATTGAAAGGAGGGGAAACAGGGAGCCAGCATTGATGCAGATACTGAGACAGATACAGATGCAGGTAGTAAGACTTTTGAATCATGAAATGATTGGGTTGTTGTCTTGTTTTAGTGCTCACAGTTATTGATGACCAGGATGTGGTAACATGTTTACTGATTGATTCCACTAGGAATTAAGATTGATATGGGTTTGAATTGTGTGTGAATCATGAGATCAATGCAATGATGATGGCATCCTTGCACATCTGGTAAATGCTTTTTAAATACAGAGCTACAAAATCCTGACAATTACAAGGCATTCAGTCACAGTTTAGATGCTCTTGTAATGCGTAGTTTTTACTGCTTTCTTGTATTTACAGAATAATAGGTTTCATTCTGGAGAAACCTAATAGGCAGAACTGTTCCATTTTAAATGCCACATTACTTTAGACTTATTTTACCTTGGTTGGCATTAAAAGTTGAGATACCCCTTATAAATTATGAACATACTGGTTAGCTTCAGTTTGGCTGTTAACAGGATTGATGTCTCGTCTCATCCACCATCCCCTGGCTAGAGTCAGTTAGTGCAGTATGAATCAATTGCTTGCTTTAGTGGCTTTCCTTTATTTCACCGTTCAAATCCCTGCGAAAAGCGACTTACATTTGGGCTCTGAAAAGGAAGTTAAATGCGACCCAGATGGGACTCGAACCCACAATCCCCAGCTCCGGAGGCTGATGCCTTATCCATTAGGCCACTGGGTCATTACGTAGCTATAAGTGTAAAATAAACCTTTATCAAAAATAAAGGACGGATTAAAACCGGTTAGATTACGTACATTCCGGCATCGAGGACCGTATTACCCATTGTGAAGTATAGAAAGTGTAACCCACGGTACCATAGTTATTTCAGACATAGCCGCAATTGTCTGTAATGAAAGGCAACCCATGGATGTGGTAGTTTAATCTCGCGATACTGGCAGCGGTTGCCTTTGACAACAGCTTCGTTGTGTGATGCGTTTTTTTAATCATGGGCGGTGCCTTTAGTTCAACTGACCAATCACATGTCAGCAAAAACAGGGCCATATATACATGACGTCACGTCTACTGTAAAAAAAAAAAAACAAGAAATCTCAAAGGTAAGCGCGTCGCACATGTTCTGTGGCCTAATGTACATTTTTTAAACAAATACCTTGTTATTGTAATCGTTTTTTAAAAATAATTTGAGTGTATAATATGTGTCTGTGAATTTCAGCTGGTTTTTGGGGGTGTTGGTTTACCGGACAGGCTCCGTGTGCGATGGGCCACATGGTGTTAGATAACCGGCTTGGCGTCGAGACAACGACCAGTTAGCTAGTTAACTGCTAGCTGGCTAATTTGCCGCCTGCTAGCTAGCGAACAGAAAGTTAACCCGAGGAAGGCAGCCGTTGGTACGACCGTTATTTATTTTAACGTTAACTGTCGTCTTTTAACAGAGAGTGTCTGTCACGTCACTGGAATCGATTGTCTTTTGCTCAACGGTCAGGAATGTCAGCTGCCAACGACATCGGAGATCGACTCACCCAGTTCAAAAACAAAGGGAAAGATGTCAACGTAAGCTCTTTCAGCGTGAAGCCAGCGTTACAACATGAATTATGTAACATAGCTAACCGCAGCATCAATGACCCTGTCCTATATTATTTCAATGCGTGAATATTTCTTCAGGAGCTAAGGCGCAGGAGAGCGGAAGTCAACGTGGAGCTCCGGAAAGCAAAGAAAGATGATCAGATCCTGAAGAGGAGAAACGTCCAGAGCCTGCTGGACGAGCCAACCTCTCCTCTCCAAGAGAAAGATCCCAACGCCCAGGTTAGATCGCAGCTGGGCCAGCTCTACTGGGCCCTTAACATACTAGCTACTTGATTTGGCGGGGAACAGTAAACAGGACGCACCTAAAACAAATACAGCTTGTTTCCATGTGTTTTACATCCCTGATACATTTGACTATATATCTTAGTTGACTGTAAGTGAACTACAACATCCTCCATGCCTACACCTGGTCTAGTGAAATAGACATTTTTACGCTGATATAAGTCCATGCAGTTTGTACCCAGTGGTCAATGAGAAACACAGAGCAAACTGAAGCGTTAACCTCATTATAACAGTTTGGCTTTACCACTGTATTACCAATATCAATACCAATATTCATTTGTTGTCATGACGGCTTTGAGTTTGCGTCATGTACCCAATTATCTTGTCCGTGTCAACCAGGAAATAATTGTTTGTGACTGTGTAGCATTCTTATTATTTTTCCCCCTTATTTTTTTCTAAATTGCATTGCATTGTCCTGATCCAGTAACTCTAGTCTAAACAGATTCCCAGCATGTTCCAGTGAATGTTGAGGGTTATTTTTAAATGTTGTTTGACACAGGTTTACTGGGCGGATAAGTAATCCTCTTTTGTTTCCATAGCCTCCTCAGCACTGGTCTGTGGAGGAGATTGTAGGTGGTGTTAACAGCCAGACTTTAGACCATCAGCTGCAGGCCACGCAAGCAGCCAGGTAAAATCAGTTTGAAAATAACTTTGATTGAAAAGTTTTAATGTAATTAAGCTGTTCCCATGACGTTACTGTGGCATTTTATGTAAACACGCAGTCTGAATAACATAAGACATGGTGGACATGATATCCTGCTGTATTGCCCTCCAGCTAGTGGTTACTCTAATGACATTTAACAATGCATTACCTTTGCTTGTAGTTTCTTACCTTCGATTAACTTATTTGTGTTTTTTTCCCCTGCTGTACAGGAGGCTCCTCTCTAGAGAAAAGCACCCACCCATTGACTGCATTATTGCTGCCGGCCTCATCAAAAAGTTTGTTAGTTTTCTGGCATGGTCTGAATGCCCCCCCATCCAGTTTGAGGCAGCTTGGGCCCTGACCAACATCGCCTCAGGTACCTCAGACCAGACCACTGCCGTAGTGGAAGGAGGGGCTATTCCGGCCTTTATCAGCCTGGTGACATCACCCCACCCGCACATCAGCGAGCAGGCCATTTGGGCCCTGGGTAACATCGCAGGTACTGTACGCTGACAACATTCAACGTCTCCTTATGTTTCAGTTACTTGTTTAACTTCCTTTGCTTCATCACTATATCCTGCACGGCCATATTGTTGAGCTTATTTGCCTCAATAGTTGTGATGTGAGGATGTATTGTTGTAGTTGTGTAATTATGCTTCCTTTGTTTTGTCTGGAGGTGTTGTTGGTCTCCACAGGCTGTAAGGGCTTTTGAATTAATGTAAAGGGGTGTGTCCTAAAACTCAAACATGTGTAGTTGAATACATTGAGTTCCTGGTCCAAAGGTTGTGCAAGACAATAGGGAACTCATGGTCTATCAGAGTATCAGCATTTGCTTGGTGGTTTTCTCAGTCAGTACAGATCATAGTGAAAAACATATTGAAGGTCCTTTTCACTGAAGGGCTAGCTCTGAAATGCTCAACCAAATGATGCATTTTTCTTGGTAACTACCTACAGTAAGCAATTGTAGATTTTGTAGCACTTTTTTCTGTTCTGCGATTGCACTGCTGACAGTAGATGACTGTAAATGTATTCCCCCCTCAAATGTAGGTGATGGATCCAACTACAGAGACCTAGTGATCAAACATGGTGGTCTCCAGCCACTCCTAGCCTTGCTGGCAGCTCCTGACCTGTCTGTGTTTCCTGTGAGTTTCCATTAAACATTGATTTTGTATTTTGATTTTGCTCATGCACCTTAGAAATGTCATTAAGTGATTTTAGACAGTACAGTTATTCAGCACATACAAATTCCACAATAGCTGTAAAATAACTGTAACATTTTTATTGAGCATTTATTTAAATTGCAGGTGCATTAGTAAAGGTTTATTTATTCAAAGTCACGGACTGATTTCATTGATGGATAAAAATCCTGAGACCCTGAGGTTATTTTCTTTGAAGAGGACTAATGTTGAAATTTGTTGAAAATTGATTCTCCTTTAGAGAGGTCTTTGAATAAACTTGAGTCTTGTCAGTATCATTGTATTTGTTACTCTAACAACTATCATGTTATGATGTTCTGAAATAACTCTTGATTCTTAACCCACCATACCAGTCTGGCTACCTACGCAACGTCACCTGGACGCTGTCCAATTTGTGTCGGAACAAGAACCCAGCACCTCCTTTGACGGCAGTGGAGCAGCTGCTTCCAGCTCTAGTGCGCCTCCTGCACTACAATGACAGGGAGATTCTGGCTGACACCTGTTGGGCCGTGTCCTACCTGACAGATGGCTCCAATGAGAGGATAGAGGTGGTGGTGCAGGCAGGCCTGGTGCCCCGATTGGTACAGCTGCTAGGCTGTGAGGAGCTCTCCATTGTGGTATGTACTGTTGAGTTGGTTTACATCAAAAGTTGGTGTTATTTGTGACTGTACTAGCAGTTAGTGCGCTGTCTACAGTGCTCATATTCAGTCAGCACAACATTTAAATTCAAAGTAATTATCAAAAAGATTACCTTCATTCATCAGAAATAGCTGCCCTCTTGATTCTGTCATGAACCTTTGTACCTAAGCTTATTCTGCTGTTGCCTGCATACCTAGTGGCTTCAGACAGGTGTGCCAACATCGGCATGTGACACAGTGTTTAGGTATAAAATAATAATAATCACCATCATCTCTCCTATATATTATTCCTAAATAGTAAATACTGCAGATAATTGACTTAACTCCCCTTCAATTTGCAGACTCCAGCCCTGCGCTCACTGGGCAACATTGTGACTGGGACAGATGAGCAGACCCAGTGCGTGCTGAATGCAGGTGCCCTGGTGATGTTCACAAGACTGCTGTGCCATGACAAGCCCAATATCCAGAAAGAGGCAGCCTGGGCGGTGTCCAATATCACTGCTGGCAAGGATACCCAGATCCAAGAGGTTATCAACGCAGGCCTGGTCCCCATCCTGGTGGAGGTCCTCAAACAGGTCAGAACACAATACAGAAAATATATTTATTACATAGTCAAAATTACATGTATTAATTCATAATGCGTAATGTTATATTTTATTGATTAGTGTGCAGAAAATTATTTTATTATTATATTTATTATTTATTATTATTATTTTAATTTCTATAAGGGCTCATTTAAAATATCTTTAGTATATTTCTATACTATGTACGTATGTACGTATGTACGTATGTACGTATGTATGTATGTATGTATGTATGTATACATGAGTTGTAATTTCTCTTTAGGGAGACTACAAGACCCAGAAGGAGGCAGTGTGGGCTGTCACCAATTATACCAGTGGTGGAACGTTGGCGCAAGTGGCCTACCTAGTCCAGTGCAATGTGCTGGAGCCTCTGCTCAACCTGCTGACAGCCAAAGACAGCAAAATCCTCTTGGTCATCCTGGATGCAGTCTACAATATTTTACAGGTATGTTGCTGCATTGGAGTTGCTCACAGCAATTTTGTCTTCGTAGTGCAGTCTAAATGCTTCAATTAACACTCTGTGCCATGTGTCAAGTAGATTTTACCCAACTCGTTAATGAAACACTGGTTTAAGACTAGTACGAGGTGGCAAAATAAAAGCAAATTTATCTGTTAATTTTTCACTGAAGTGCCTCTCTCCTATGTATCATCTCTCCTATGCACTGATCGCTGATAGGTTAATATGCAACTTCCCAAGTAACAGCCAAGGAACATTTACTAATTATTATAAAAAAACAAAAACATTCCCTGGGCAAATCATTTTCATTGTGTATCAGAAAATGGTCTGAAGGCCACCCAGCACCATATTGCGGGCCAGATTTAGCCCGCAGACCGTAAGTTGAGTATCACTGCTAGAGTTTATCCCTTCATCTCAGTAGATTGTATAAATGTATGAAAATCAACATTCACACAATTTATACTTGATTAAATTGTAGGTAATGTATCACTGTAAACAATATACAGTATCTGCAGTCATTGTTGTTAAAGTTATATGATCATTGTGTAGCAATGTAGCTGTAAAGGCAATTTAAAGACGTTAACAGCACAAAGTAAGAAACACACAAAGAAGCACTAAACTACAACTACAGCACACCAAATCACCGTTCTTTCTTTTTTATTTCTCATGAGATCCAAATTTGTCGTGTTCATTCCTCCTGTACAACGAGATGAGTAGTTTGAACAAGCTAGTTATGAAAACTCTGTTTTGTCACATAGAAATGTAATATAAAGATTTGGTGCATGTGTGGCTTTTTAATTAGAACTATGATACTTGATTTGAAGTAAATTGGATAACGCATGCAAAAACACTGCCACAATCCTTTTTAGAAAATGAAGGACAACTGTTAAAATTGTGCAAATGTTTTGGCAGGTTGAGGAAAACTCAGGTTGAGAAAATTCAAACTATCTTCCAGGAGCCAGCCATGCTCGACAGATTATGGGCTAATGGTACACTACTGCCTACAACTGCAATAAAGAAAATAATCTTCATACATATAAGAGAAATTAGCCTTTTAATGTACCCTTCCAGACTCTCCTGCCAGCAGATATTGGCTTTTAGGTCCCGGGGAAATTGAGTTTTACATGGTGGGTTTCTGAGATTAGGAGACATGAAGATTTGCAGAATTTAATCTCACAGATGGATTTTTGGCAGTCACAGATTAAAATGGATGGTCACAGGTTCATCTCTTGGTGAGGGAACTTTTAGTCATATATATTTTTTTCATTCTCCACAGATGACATGCAAAGCTGGTGACATTGATAAACTGTGCCTAATGATTGAGGAGTTGGGTGGTTTGGACAAGATTGAGGCATTGCAGTCCCATGACAACGAAGCTGTCTACAAGTCCTCTCTCAACATCATAGACCGCTTCTTCTCTGAAGAGGTAAGTTTTTGATAACCTTCAGCCATGCAGAAATCACAGCTAGAGTTAGATAGATTGGTCCAGGAAGTGAAAGTAGACCATTCAGACGACAACGATCTGTACCAATGTTGAAAACACTTGTTTCAGATTTTTTTTTATCCAAATGCAACTTGAATTTCAAAACCTTGAATGACCACAGTTACTTTATTGGAGGAGTTTATTTACTTCTTTATTATTATTTTTTATTTAATGTAGGTTTTGTTTCTGTCTAATGCTTCTCTTCTCCTGTCTCGCTGGTCTTTCAGAATGAGGATGAGTCTGTGGTTCCTGAAGCCACTGAAGAGTCCTACACCTTTGAGATCCCTGAGGACCAAAGCACTTTCCAGTTTTAACATTTCCAGCTTGCTTTTTGTAACATAAACATAGAAAATTCGTACCTTGTTGATATTTTTGTATTTTTTTTTTTTTTTTTTTTTTTTAGACATGTCATCCTTGTACAGAACAGTACAAAGACAAAATACTCCCGTTTTACAGAAATATTTGTAAATAAATGTTATTCATGCATCAGTTTTTATTTTTCATTGTTTCAGATTTGAGAAAGCTATGAATGGTGGAACGTGCTCGATTTATTTGGTGAAAAGATGGGAAGGAGCTGAGGTGTTAAGAATGAGTTGTTATGGGAAATAGGAAATGGGGGGTGATTCTCCTGCATCCATGTCACCACTAGGTGACACTGTGCGTATTCTTTATACTTGCTGTGCCTACATGTTATAAGGACCCTATTGTGTCTATAGTGTAGTAATATAGTATTGTAAACTATTTTATGAATGAAGTGTGTTGTATATTCCAGTTTATGGCCACGATGGCTCAGGAGGGTGCAGGAAGGAGTAGAACCAGACTCTTGAGACTTTTATTTCAAAGTCATTTTCCTTTCTTAGTCCTTTCAAGCTACCCAGATTAATTCTGGATAAAGACGATTTTACGTGATAAAATAAAATCACCGGCTCATTTGTTAATCATTAACATTAATTAAACATGTCCAAGGACTACGATCGCTCAGGGGATGTCGCGTTTTGGCAGCCGTAAAAAAGGACATCTTTCATAGTGTTAAACTAAAACATTAAGAATTGGGGAACATGCATGTAATTTAAAAAACACGGAACAAATAGTGAAATATGTTTCTTGTTGGTCGATAAGATTAAGATTAAGACATGCTTTTATTTTGTAAGACTGTACCGGATGTGCCGCCTCTCTCTCCCTGACCAGCCTGTACGCCTGCAGCGGCTCAGTCTCCTCCATCATCATCACGATCAGCTCCACTGGAAGCAGCACAGGCAGAGCAGAGCAGGCGCCTGTCCGGATGGAGGGCAGACGGCTCACTTAATTTGAATCAGCACCAGTGGCTCTCGGCGTGAACGACACTTGTAGGGGGGGGATATGTTGTTATGTGCGTGTCTTACAGAAAAGGGGCTCAAATGAGAGAGTTATTCCAGCGATGTGGTTACGATAACGTTACACTGCATACACAGTCAGCCTGATTTGCTATGGTGATACTACAAGCTAACCACAAGCTAGCAGAGGGATTGTTTTGGGAGATACCTTTTTGAAGAACTCATACGCTGACACATGAGTTAGACACTTTTGTGCTTTTTCATCAAGCTGGAACACAAAGGGGAATGTCTAGCCAAGGAGTGAGGAGAAATGGCCCAGTGAAGCTGCGGTTGACAGGTAAGATCATTTAAACCCCTCCTGCGCCGCTCGGAAGCGTTAGCCACTTAGCCTGCTAGCCAACCAGGCTAACTAACGTCTGATTGTACTGCTGGACGCTGGCGCATGTGTGATTATATTTATATATATATATAAAGAAAGGTCATATTCTAGCTCGTGTTATTGCGTTTTAATTGCGCATTCAATTTATTTCACGGTTATATTCAGACTGAGCAGTGAGCCCTGCTCGTTAGCAAACATTAGCTGCGACACCAACGCTGTTGATGTTGTAGTAACCTAAGGTTAGCTGGCCAGGGTTACTTGTGGCTGGTTATCGCTTTAGCATCGTTAATTATGGGTCTCTGCCAAAAGCGAGCTTTTACTGCTTCTTTTACTGTTTACTGGTTCTTCTGTGCTAATGGCCATTTTCTTTTTAAGCTTTATTTCTGTGGTTATTTGTAATACTTTTGTTTATTCATGCTAGTCCATCAGTTAATCATCAGCCACTATGTGTAGTCATGTCTGAGTATATTTCAGGAGGTAGAGGACATACTGTCTGTGGCTCCATGCTTGGAGGAATTACAGCTCCAAAAACAAAGCCGACATCTTATAAGACGTAGGGGTGTCATTCTCAGTGTCCTTCCTCTATTTAGATAATTACTTTCAGTGTGGTCAGTAAGGATAGTGGTTACAATGGGGGAGGTGGCAGTTTACTGTTGAACCTGCATGGAGGGATTCATGAAGGGAGTGGATTTCACACACCCCTTTCCTCCCCCAATCATTTTCTGGTGGCAGTCACATCAAATGATTCATCTGATGCTGTTCAGGAGATACAGCAGCCGAGCTGAAGGAGAAAACTCAAGATTGTCTCATTGTGAAGAGATGCTTTCACCTTTATTTGTCAATAGACCACTATTCTTTTTCTTCTTAAGACTCACAGCAATGCAGTATAACTTGTAATTCCCACAGCATAGCACAATGACAGGTGTTCTTCATAGGCTGTGCTACATCATGTGACTGCATTGTCTTCTCATTCAACACACTGTGCTACAAGTGACCAACAGGTTCATTTACCTTTTTTATGTAAATGAACCTGTTGGTCACTGTTTTAATACCATAAGAGAAATTAACTCTTAAAGCTCAAAAATCTACTCAGCCATCAGTCTTTCTCGCCCGCCCTGGGTTTTCTTTTTTTTTTTTACCCCCTCCATATGGAGAATGGTTTTAAATGGGCTGCAGTGGTCTTCAGACGGAATCCCAGGAATGTGAAACCTCAGAGAGGAAATGTGAGTCTTTCCCAGTCATAGACACATCCTCTGTCTGTCCTTCACTAGAGAGAAAGGTTAAGGAAAATAGCGTGTGTGCGTGCGAGGAGAGAGAGAAATTGGGGTTTGTATGGCAGAGTGGGACCAGAATTGCTGCTCTCACAGTGATGATCAGAGATGCTAAGTCTAGGCTACATATAGATTTGTGCATTCATTTAAGCTTTACATGTGTGTTTAGTTGTGGCCACACTTGATTTATGCGTCTGAGACCGTGTGCATTTAGACCAAACTTTGCATACCATCCAAAGTCCAGTTTTACTCTGTCTGCTTTGTGGTCTCTTTCATAGTTTGCATGTTTTTTCTCAGAAAGAATTAGAATTCACAAAGCCAGAAGCTTCATCCCTCCTGGCCACCATACATTCTCTCTTACCATGTGCCAATCAAATCACATTAAAATAATGGCTCTGTATCAAACAGGGTCTTAGAATGCCTTTTTTATTAGCATTTTGTGATAATTATGAATTTCAAAGTCAGTCTTTTTTTCTGGCTTGCTATATGCTTGACCTCTAACTTTCTCTGTTGTCTTTACGGGCTTCAGGTCACTACAGAAACACTGCCCAGGCTAGTCGCTGCGCTGTCACCAGTGTCACTTACTTAACAATACTTTATGGCCTATACATGATAAAAAGAGGAGGTATAAAATGTTTTGATATTTCAGCCACAAGTCTGCACTGTATTTATGTTTCTTCTCAGATGCAGGTCATATATATTTTTAAAAGGCTACTGTGTTGGGACTGCTGATGCAAACTAAAGCTAAGCTCTCATTTTTGTTCTGTCTGTGTTCCTCATGATAATATAAAATTGGGTTTTGTCCAAGAAATTCTCCCCCACCAAAGTGAAGGTTTTTCTAGATACTTGGAGGAACAGCTGAATTTGAAGTGTGCTGTTATAGTTTGCCACCCTCACTGGGATCACGTCTCGTCAGAGCAGTGGATTACAATTTACGTAGGGTGGGTTTACACACACACTGCAGGGTTTAGAGGAGTCATCCCCAGTTTAGTTATCCCACACTGCATCAAATGCCACCTTCTGGTTTATCACAAAGGCAATTTTGGAGCTCCTCCTTATGTCTAGAACATTTAACTGGGACAGCTGTTCTTTGAGGCTGAAATTAATAAAAAAACATCCTAGCTTGCTGGTAGGCGGCGTGTCGTCGTGTCCCCATAGAGCTTACTGCCAAGCTTGTAAAAGAGAGCAATCTTGGATTTCGAAAGCTGTTATTTCTAACACTGCAGGGAGCCGACAATTGGTGTAGTTCCCCCTCCGTCTCCTGTGCTGAGAGAGAGTTGGCGTAGGATTTACTGAAATTGAACAAGAACCGGGTGTTTTCCCTCACTTTCCTTCACTGGATAGAATCTGGAGTTTCTCAAAGGTGAATGACATGAGATGTACGAGGGGATGAATCCATCTCTCACCCCCTTTTAAATATGGCCTCTTGGCTGCACTATGCTGTCGCTGCCTCTGCTGTGAGGAAGGGAGTCTGTCTTTGTGATCCATTTCCTCCATTAGCCTCCAGTTGGCATGCAGCAAGCAGCGAACGACTGGAAGAATCATCTCAGGATTCTTCCTGTTCTGTGTGAGCGCTTGATACTCAGGCAAGCAAGAAAACCTACATTCACATTTTTCATCTACTGTGTGTGTGTGTGTGTGTGTGTGTGTGTGTGTGTGTGTGTGTGTGTGTGTGTGTGTGTGTGTGTGTGTGTGTGTGTGTGTGTGTGTCCCTTATTCTAACCGTTTGGGAAGCTGGTGCTGGAGCTTGTGTGTATGTTGAAGAGAGGTAAAGCCAGGAAGCTGCTGATTAAGATAAAGATCCAGCCTGTGTTCCTGGTCCAGCATTAGCACCGCGGCACAGAGTGCATTTTAGTTATCAGGGACCACTGTCTCAGCATTCACTGCCTGCTCTCAGAAAGTACAGCTGTGTGTGTCAGCTTGTTTGTATGTGCAAGTGCAATGTTTGTATTCTCAAAAACAAGACAAACACACAATTTCACGCGCACATGCACACGGGCGCACTCATGTACACAATTGAGCTTCCACAGGATGTACTGTCAGCACGCTATGCTGAGCTAAATTAGGGCTGTCTGCTTCCTAAAATATAAGGAATGAATGTTGCAAAGAGAGTGCGCTATGGTGATAGTACCGACAGTTGTGTTAAGTTATGGAGCCCACATGGGGTTGCGTGATAATTATGCATTATGGATAAGTTTTAGAATGTTAGAAGAATTAAACATTTATGATGAGATATGTATTTATCTTGTTAAATGGTAAATATTTACAGCCTTTTTTGTGTTATTTTCTCGATCAAGTAAAGCAGCCTGAAATGAGAGGGAATAAAATGGAGATATTTGGAAATAGCTCTCCTGAATATGGCAGGTCTATTACACCTACAAATTCCTTTCTATTTTTCACACAATTTTGAATGTCAAAATCAGCTGTGTGACCATTTCTAACTGACTTCTTCATCCTCACCTTGAATGAGGTTGGTAGTATTATTTCTGCTTGCCAATTTAGCTGGCCTCCGTATGATTTGAATGAAAGCTGATTAAATAATGATTTACATTTAATCAACACACTGTGAGCTGCTGGTAATTGGGTGGACTTGGACTATGCATGAGCCGTGATGTAATTTATTTGGTTACTTCTAAGCTGTTTTGTTTCCAATTGTTTTTTTTATTTTAAACAATACAGAGTTTGACAGTTGAAATGTGGACCAGAGGTAGCGATTATGATTCACCAACACACAATGGACATGAGTCATCCAGTGACGTGTTTGCGGTGTTGCTCTCTGTTTTATGTATCCCTGGCACCAGCTTAATTTAGGAAGAAGCAATGCTCCGGCATAAAGTGCAGCTTGACCCAGTTATGAGGTAATTAATAGGCACTGCTCAAGATTCCTGATTCCTGCAGAAATTGCCTCTAAGATACTGGGTTGTTGTTCACCAAATGTATCTACATTTCTGCTAACACACACACACACACACACACACACACACACACACACACACACACACACACACACACACACACACACAGAGAGAAATAAAGGGTGAAAATGTTTAACTGCACCAACAACATTGATGATTTATTGGCGGATTCCCAGAATCTCACCTCAGCAATGATGACAGAAGGTAATCTGCAAATGTGATGCAGATTCAGACTCGCAGCATTAGGAACGACCCATGTAGAAAGTCGAACATAAACCTGAGCTGCTCAAACAAGTTAGCCTTAGCTGTTCAGTATGCACCTCATATCTTAACACCACCACATTGACAAAGCCTGCAGCGTAGCACAGTGCGTTACTCTTCATCCCCAGACACTTGAAGGCAGGCAAGTGTGAGAGTGTGTATGCAGTGCACAGACACGTGTGTGAGTGTGAGAATGTATGTGTTGGTGGGTGTGTGGGTGTGTGTGTATACTGTACATTTTTGTTTGGTGGCCTGTGTGTGTGTTTATGTGCTTCAGCTCAAACATTTTACACTTGATCTGCCAAGACAAGAGAGCAGCCCATATGGGCCAGTCAGCCCTTCTGTTCTCATCTCTCCTCTCATCAGCTCATCACATGTTCATACTTTTCTTGCATCTCTTGTCATCTCTCCTCTGGTAACGTATTTTCTCTGCTGTTAACATCCTCTTTTTCTTTGTCCCCTCCTACATATCCTCCTCTGACTCACAATTATTCCAGGTTGCTCCAAATCC